TAAAAAGTGAAAGATTAAGTGAAGCTAATCTATTCTTTTTAAAAAACTCTCCCAGTCCGGACTGCTTGAGCCAGGCTGAGATAAGCTGCTCCAGTGATAAGCACAAGGAAAGAACTATTAGTGAAGTCACATCAGGGCTGGGAGAAATTCAACCCCTAAACCTGTTCATGGTCCTGTGGTTGGAGCATCCCCTCAGAGCCCACGAGCAGAGTCCTCCATGGAGCTGGGACAAGCAACTTCTTGATCCCTGAAACAAAATCCCCTGGTGTGACTGATCCCAGCTTGGACAATGCCTTCAGGACAGGATGGGATTCTTGGAGTGTCTGAGCAGGGACAGGAGCTGGATTTGATGATCATTGTGGGTCCCTTCCAAGTCAGGAATCTGTGATTCTACAGCTGCTGACAACTCCTCCTCCAAGGAAGGTTTCAATACATGGGGAACAAACAACCAAAAAAACTCTTTGTGATTACTACTTAAAGTAAGATGTCTGTTTTGACAGAGATGGGAACCAGGGAGCTCTGGGAACCATTTCTTTTGGGAAGCCCAGTGGAACACCTCTTCAAAGCACAGACTGGAGGCAGGAGCTGCAGACTGGAACGAGGCAGCGACGCGGCCCTTCGGAGACTGCTCTGTCCCCAGTCCTGCTGGGCAGGCCCAGCTGGGCCTCAGCAGTGGATTTCTCTCCTCCAGGTAGTCATCCAACACTTCCCTCATTTGCCAAAATAACCATCGATTAAGAATCAATTGACAACTGTATCAAAAAGCAGTGGAGGAGGCCAAGAGGCCGAGGCAGCTGAGCAAGCAGGAAACTACCGACGACCTCAAATAGGGAATCTCAGCAAAAGGAAGCTCAGACACTGGACCTGCACAAGATGCCAACAATGTGCAAATAGACTGGAATTAAAACAGCCTTTACCCACTGGGGTCCCTGGAGAGAACAGGTTGGAACGACCATGCTACCAGATGACATTTTCCTGAGGTGACAAAACCATAACATCTCTGCTCTGCTAATGCTGGGATTGGCAGGATCTATAAATACCAGCACCTCGGACTCAGGGCTAGTTTTAAATCAATGCAGATGGGCAAGGCAGGAACTCGGAGCCAAATCCCATAAGCTGTTCCATACCAGCACAGCCGCCCATGGATGCAAATTCCCCACTGTCCAACAACAGCTGATTTTCTGTTTTGCCTGGAACTACATGTTTTTCAGCACAAAGACCAAACCAGGCTGAGCCAGAAGACTCAGCCCATCAGAAAGTTCTTAAAACCAGAGCAGAGCCAGTCACCTTTATCAGGAATAAACAAAGATAATGTGGAACAGCAGGTCACTGGAGACTGTGCTGATAATCAGAGTCGTTCAGCTCGACTCATCTGTACAGCAGCTGACTCCACACCGAGCTGCTGTGGCTCATTTAAAACCAGAGCACTAATTGCCTGCAAGTTGGACACACTTCAGACCTTCAAAAGGCCGGGCTGGATGGTGCTTGGAGCAACCTGGTGCAGTGGAAAGTGTCCCTGCCCATGACAGGGGGTGGAATGGGATGGGCTTGAAGGTCCCTCCCAACCCACACTAGTCTGGGATTCTGTGATTCACCGACCCTCCCCTTTACAAACACATCTCATGTCTCAAGACCACCAGCAGTCAGTGAGAAAGTAAAACCACTGTGGAGTACACCTGGAGAATTCAGCCTGGAGAAGAGGGAACTGAGGGGAGTCATCGGGGACTGCAGCTCCTCCTGAGGGGCAGCTCCAATCTCACTCCTTGAGAGGGAACAGGACTCAAGGAATGGCTGGAAGTGTATCAGGGACATTTAGGTGGAGATCAGGGAAAGGTTCTTCCCCCAGAGGGTGCTGGCACTGCCCAGGCTCCCAGTGCACAGCCCCAAGGCTGCCAGAGCTCCAGGAGGGTTTGGAAACGCTCCCAGGGATGCACAGGGTGGGAATGTTGGGGTGTCTGTGCAGGGCCCGGAGCTGGACTGATGGTCCTGTGTGTCCCTTCCAGCTCAGGATACTCTGTGGCTCTGGTTACCTAGACAGGCAGCCACATGCTGGAGGCAAAAAAGTGTTCCAACGTGAAAATAAACAGGAAAAACAAAGGGAACACAAATGCACATAAACTTGCATTCTGTGTGGTTTTGCTCCATAGGTGCAATTCTTATTAGCGTGTCTTAAATTACTCGTCTGCCCTGTGATACCTGATATTTAAAGTAAAAGATTAAGTTTATTAAAAAAAAGAAAAAAAAAGGAACAAAGAAATCTCAGTGAGCTTTCAGATCCTGCCTAAAAACGTGAGTGAAGTGGGAGTAAACATTCCCTAGATAAAAACCATCCAGTGGCCATTGGGCTGCTCCATCTTTATCACTCCCAAAAGCCCAGGAGCAGTAACAACGTACTCAGTGGTCACAGTATTGGCATATTTTCTGAAAAACACCACTCGGAACCAGAACAGCCACACTGAGGACGGAAAACAAAGCTGAAACACCAGAACAAGAAATACTCTGTCTGAATATTGGGCAAACAAACAAATCAGAATTCTCTGGGTTGTAAACCCTCACGAATTCAATTACCTGCCTGACCAGAGCAGCTAAACCACCCAGCTGAGATTGTAAATGATTCTGGGTTTCTGGCTGTAAAAAGTAGAAATGGGTTGAAAAAAACCCCTTTACCTCCAACTGCTGGCATCTCCAATTTAATTTTGGTTCATTATGTGCCTGAGATAATTAAAATGAAGGTCGGAGTGCTTTGTGTCCTTCACAACCCTGGCTCTGTTCTGAACATGGCATTCAGACATCCAGCCAGCCCTGAAGTCGAGGAGCTCAGGTTAATAAACAATCATATGCAGCCAAAAGTCCAAATTCCAAACACAGCAAACCCTAAGCAATGAGGGAGAAAAGGCCTTTCTTCAATATCCTTAACACTCTGAGGATTCACAGACAGAAACTCAGCTCATCCCACCTGGCATCAACCTGTCTCACTGTAATGATTCATTTATAATCCTGGTCCTTACTGTAAACCATGAGAAACAGTTAAATAATACTAGATACAAGGGTAAACTAAAAGTATTGGTTAATGCTGATTAGTTTAAGACACAAGAAAAAAAAAATTAATTATGATATGAGTTTATACAGAAATAAATTTCCCATTAACTCCAAAACTCACTTCAAAATGTTTTTTCTCTCATTTCTGAAATGTTAAAGAAAAGTGCATGTTCACACACACATTAAAAAAAAAAAAAAAAAAATTTAAGGTTTTAAGGCTTTCATATCTGTGCCAAAGAGAATGAAAGGAAAAACATTACACGTTAATCAAAGTGATACGCAAAACCACCGTCTGACACCAGACTTCACAGTGGCACTGCTAATATTCCTCCTGGATATTGGGTGCAGTACCACGCTAAACCTGAGACAGCCCACAGTTAGGTTTCAGATTCTCTAGGAAGACCATAGAGCACCAAAATCTACTGAATGCAGAACTTATTCTATATCTGCTCACTCAATTTAGAATTAAATTTCCTAGTTCCAGAATCACCCACAAGAGGTGTGAGGAATCCCAGCTTCCACCCGAAATTCTGCATAGGCTTTAGAAAGGGAAAGGCAGCTGGTCCAAAGGTCTCCCCTGGGCACAAGGAGTTCTGTCCACACCTGAGCTCTTATAATGCTGCTAAAGTGGGAAACAGCTCCTGAGCCAGATGCAGAGGAGTTTGAGCAACAGTCATGGCAAAATCCCAGGTCACGATTGCACCATGGAGCCGGGAGAGGCCAGGACGTGCTTTCCATTCCTCCCAGGTGAGTGCCAGCGCTGGGCACAGGTACCAATGCTACAAACGCTGTAAGTTTACAGCCTCCCAGCTGCAAAGTGCTACATCAGCGCCACACGTCATTGCCCAGAGCTCCCAGAAGTGAAACCAAGGCCGCCTGGACCCTTTGGAAAAGGACTGGAACAGCTTCGGTTTTGTCATTTTCACACAGACACATCTGGGGGTGCGGGGCCAAGGGCCACCCCCACCCCCGGCCTTGCGGAGGGACTGACCTTCCTCAATGACACACATTCAGAGGGTTTAGCACTCAGCAAAAGCAACCACTCCGTGTATTTCACCGGCATTTAACAGCCACAACACTACACTTCCTAACCCCTCCTTTCCTGCCTGACAGCAGGCCCAGACGCCGCGGAGAGGGGCGGGTTTCGCGCAGGCCGCCGCAGGCCGGGAATCCCTGACCCAGCCCGGCAGCGCCGGGCCCGGCGGCACGTCCGGCACGTCCCCGCCGCCGGGCCGCGGCAGCGCGGCAGCTGCCGCCTCACATCGCCGCGCAGCGCTCTCCGCGTTGTAAGGCGCAGCGCCATTGGCCGCGCCGGGCCCCGGTGCGTGCCCTCGGATAACCCCCGGCCCCACAATAGCGCGGCGCGGCCGCTCCGCCGGTGCCACCGGGCGGCCCACGGGGGTCTCACCGGCAGCCCCCGGCCCCGCCGCGCCTCAGCTCCCTGCCCGCCCCTCCGCTCCGCACCCCGCGGCCCGCCGCGGCCTCGGCGGGGCGCACCCCCGCAGCTCTGGTGGGGGGGGAAACACACAAACGGGGCGAGGGGGGGGACGCGGCGCCCGGTGCGGCAGCGGCGGCGCGAGGGGCGGAGGGAAGTTGTCGGAAAAGTCAAGAGTGAAACTTGTCTCACCAGGTCCTCGAAGCTCCGGCGGTGCTCCTTGCCCTGCCAGTCCAGGCGCCGCGGAATGAGCTGCGGGAGGGACACGGGGACGGGGGCGGCCGTCAGAGCCCGAGCGACCCCTCCCCGGGGAGCGGCCCCCGGTGCCCGCCCGCGCCCCCCCGAGATGGAGCCCCCCCGGCCGCTGCCCCCGGCCCCGCCGCGGGGCAGCCGCGCTCCCGCCGGGTGTCCCGGACGGAGATGGGCTGGGTTAGACGGGGCAGGGCAAACGCCGACCCCGCCGTCCCGAGGGCTTCCCCCGTCCCGCCGGGGCAGGCGCCTCACCTGGTGCTCCTCCAGCTCCTCCACCAGTACCTGGGGACAGAGGGACACACAGAAACACACAAAGAACGTGAGTCCGGCGACCGCAGCGCAGCGGCTCCGCCGCCCCGTCCCGTCCAGTCCCGTCCCGTCCCGTCACCGCCCGCCCGGCCCGGCCGGAGCGCCGGCTCCGCGCTCACCTGGGCGGATTTCTTGCAGGGTCCGGACTGCAGGAACCGTGCGATCAGGTAGTAGAGCTCTGCGGAGGGGCGGGGGAGAGCGGGTTAGACACGGTTAGAACGGAGGGAGTGCGGAGCGCAGCCCCCGCCGCCAGCGATACCCACCGGCTTCCAGCTGGGTCGGGGCGGCCGCCGCCGCCATCCTCCTCGGGAGGGGGAGGGGAGGTGGCGGATGGCGCCCCGGGGGGACTCGGCTCCTAGTGCGGGCGCAGCCTCATGCCGGAGCGGCGGTGCCGGTGCGGGGCGCGGGTCCCGGTGCGGGTGCGGGCGCGGGTCCCGCCCGCTCCCCTTGTGCTG